CAAACCTGATAAATTTATTTCAGTTCTTTGAGGAGATAACAAGCTGGATATATAAAGGGCAATCATAGATGTAATAGATTTGGATTTCCAAAAGGCACACACATAAGGCAACTTAATAAGAGATAAGAGCCCATGGTGTTGGTGGTAATGTATTAGCTTGGATAGCAAATTAGTTCATTAACAGCAGACAGAGTAGAAAAAAGGAACAATTTCAGGATGGCAATCTATAACTAGTAGAAAGTCACAAAGATCAGTACAGGGGCCACAATTATTTACATTTACTAATGACTTGGATGAGAATGTGAATATACTATCACTAAGTTTGTGGATGACACAAAAACGGTTGGAAAGCAAGTAGTGAGAATGATGCAGTCTACAGATTGATACACACAGGTTAAGTGAATGGCAAAATTAAGTGAGTGGTAGATGAAATATAATGTGGGAAAGTGTTAGGTTATGCACTTTGGCAGGAAGAACAGAAGAGCTGAATATCATTTAAATGGGGAAATATTTCAGAAAGCCACAGCACATTAGATTTTGGGGCCCACATGTATAAATCACAAAATGCTAGCATTCAAGTTCAGCAAGAATTAGGGAAAGCAAAGGGCTGATGACCCTATTTTCAAAGGGAATAAATTAGAGAGATATGGCTAAAATTATATTTGGCATGGGTCAGACCACACCTGCTATACTGTGAACATTATTGCCACACTTATCTAAGGAACAATATGTCATTGGAGGCAGTCTGGAGAAAGTTCACTAGATTAATTCCAGGTATGTAAGAATTACATTATGAGGAGACCTTGAATAGTCTGGGCCTATAGTCATTGGATTTTGGAAAAATGAGACTAGACATTATTGAAGCATATAAAATTCTTAAGGGACATGGCAGAGTAGAATAGGAAAGGTAGTTTCGCCTTGTGAGTGAGTCTAGGGCTAGAGGATATAATCTCAGTGAGGTGTCACCCATTTAAAACAGAAATGAGGAAGATCTTTTCCTATCAGAGGGAGTTGATCCGTGGAATTATTTAGGCAGACTCAGTCATTAAATGTATTCAAGGCTGAAATAGACAGATTTCTAATCAGTAAGGGCATTAAGGGTTATGGGAATAAAGCAGGAAAGTGGAGTTGCGTTTATCAGATTAATCATAATTTCATTGAATGATACGGCAGGATCAATGGGCTGAACAGCCTATTTCTGCTCTTACGTTTTATGGTCTTACCTCCAACCAACCTCAAAGTCAAAAAATCATTTTTATTTGCAATTACAAATATATTTACCACAAATAAATGCTCAAAATAATTTTAAAATCACTGAATTATTTCATATGTTTGCTATTTTATCTTCTGGACTGGTCACCATGGTGCACAGGTTAATCTTTAATTCCTGGATCCTCCACAGCAATTCTAGCAAGCTGACAATTCTAAAGCACACATAGAGCTAATAGTCATTTTATATTCCAGATACACAAGTAACCATTGTTCATAAGAAAACCATAATTTTTTATTTTGTTTTTATTCATTCATGTGGGCACCCCTAGTATGGCCCACATCTTCATTCCCTTCCCTTAATTTTCCTTTCAGGACTTGCTAAACCATCTTCTCAAGGCCTGGCAGTGAGGTTAAAAGATAACAAGGTGTAGAGCTGGATGAACACAGCTGTGTCTGTGTGATGTAGACACTTCCTCACTGTCATCAGGGAATAGGTCCCAGGATTTTGATCCAGTGGCGATGAAGAAATGGCATTATTTTTTCAGGATAGATCAGTTTGAGACTTGAGAATGGAACTTGCAGATGGAGGTGCATCTGCTGCTTGACTTTCCAGATCTTAGAGCTCAGAGATGTGCAACATGCTAGTTTGCAGTGCATCTTGTAGATAGTACACACCATTGTAACAGCACACCAGTTGCAGGATTGAATGTTCGAAGTTGGTGGATGGTGCACTAATCTACATGTTGCTTTCTCTCAATGGTGTAAAGCTGCTTGAGTTTTTTTTTCTATTCATTTTGAGGAATGTGGGCATCGCTGGCTGGCCAGCATTTCTTGTCCATCCCTAGTTGCCCTTGAGAAGGTAGTAGTGAGCTGCCTTCTTGAACCGCTGCATTCCTCCTGCTGTGGGTTGACCCACAATGCTATCAGGGAGGGAATTCCAGGATTTTGACCCAGTGACAGTGAAGGAATGGCAATATATTTCATGTCAGGATAGTGAATGACTTGGAGGTGGTGGTGTTCCCATATATCTACTGCCCTTGTCCTTCTGGATGGAAGTGGTCGTGGAGTGTTGATGGAGCTGCACTCATCCAGGCCAATGGAGAGTATTCCATCACATTTCTGATTTGTGCCTTGTAGATAATGTACAGGAGCCCAAAGATGTGTCACTAGTTGTACAGTGCTCATCTTCGGGTCTGCTTTGAAACCAGAGTATTTCTGTGGCTAGTCCAGTTAAGGTTTTAGTCATTCGTGATCTCCAGGATATTGCTGGATAGGGATTTTATGATGTTGATGCCATTGAATGTCAAGGTGGGTACACTCTCTCCTGCCACTCATCCGTGCAAGCCTGAATAACATCCAGGTCTTGATTCATGTGATCACGGACTGTTCTTTATCTGTGGAGCTGCAAATGGGACTGAATAGTATGCAATCGTTAGTGAACTGACATTTTGATGTTAGGAAAGTTATTGATGAAGTAGCCAAAGATGGTTGAACATGGGACATTACGCAGAACTCCTGCACTAATATGCAGAGGTTGAGATGACTGGCCTCTCACAACCACAACACATCTTCCTTTTTACTAGCGTTCCAATTGCCCCAGTTTCCATTGCCAAATCTCCTCGATGCCAAACACTGCCTTGATGTCAAAGGCATTCTCATACTCTTCTAAGAGTTATTCTTTTGTCCATGCTTGGACCAAAGCCGAAACGAGGTCTGGAGACAAACAAGCTCTATGAATTTGAATATCAATGAGTAGGTTGTTGTTCAGCAAAGGCAGTTTGATAACACACTTAATGATACCTTCCATCATATTAATAATGAAGTAGTAGAGGAATGAAATGGTGGTTAGCCAGATTGAACTTACCTTTTTTTAAGTTTTCAGGACATAACCTGCAAATTTTTACACTTTTGGTCAGGGTATTAGCTGCATTCAAACAGGACTAGGAATTGTCGACAATCTTCAACACTACAATCAGAATGTTGTCAGGGCCCAAAGCCTTTGCTGCATCCAATGCATTCAACTGTTTCTCGATATGTTGTTGAATTGATGGAATTGCTTTAAGAGTGGCATCTGCGATGCTGGATACCTCAGGAGTAGACTGAGATTGATCATCCACTTGGCACTGCCAGTGGATGATGGCTTTAACCTCGTCATTGCACTGGAGGATAAACTTTTTTCTTCTCAGAAGGTCACGAGTCTTTAGAGCTCTCTTCCTCAAAGGGCGATGGAAGCAGAGTCTTTAAATCTTTTTAAAACCATAAGATATAGGAGCAGAATTAGGCCATTTGGCCCACCAAGTCTGCACCACTATTCAATCATAGTTGATGTGCTTCTCAATCCCATTCTTTTGCTTTCACCCATAACTTTTGCTCCCCTAACCAATTAAGGACCTATCTATCTCTGTCTTAAATACACTCAATGACTTGTCCTCCACAGCCCACTGTGACAATGAGTTCCACAGATTCACCACCCTCCAACTGAAGAAATTCCTCCTCATCTCAGTTGTAAAGGGTCATTCTGAGGCTGTGCCCTTGG